GAACATTTAAACTACTATCATCAATACCCATCTATGTTGTCTAAGTGTTGATACCTACCTCTGGATACTTAGCTTTTAAATCACCAGCTTAAACACCTACCAACTCTGCACACTCACGATCCCATAGAAGCATAGGAGTATCCCCAGTTTTATCAGGCACACATATAATCACCCTATATCTCATAACTCCCTCATGCCAGGAACTTTTACAGCCACCACAGTACATCATACCACCATCAGCACCAACCTTTCTCCTGCAAGAATTACTCTTGCAAGAGATGTAATACCAGTCACTTAAACTCTCTACATCCACAATTCGTCCTGCCACCCAATACTCCCCTAGCTGCAAGTAATAATTAGGTAAATAAGTAGCTTAGCTAAAAAAGGTAAAGGTGAACTAATGTAAACGGTTTTGAACCTTAGTAAATACATAACTTAGCTAATGACATTGCAGAATACATTACTTGTTTTTTGGAGTATATATCTTGACTAGAAGTAATCAACACATCATTAGCACACACAGCACGCCCAAGATAAGTATCAGATAGCCTTGATTCAGAATCTATACACCGTAAAGGTGTATGATCACTGTTATAGCTACTAACAGAAATCAGGAAAATGCATGTTAGTACAGAAAATTTATATTTCTTTAGAATAACAGTAAAAAGAGGTTAAAGAATCCGACCTGCTCCTTAACTCACGAAATTCTTTGCAAGAGTGTGAGAAAATAAAGCTGAGTAGCACCAAAGGTGCTGCAGATACGTACTTCACCATCTACAAAAATGATTTTAGTCAATACAAACCTTGATAAAACTGAGTAGAAACATAGATGTAAATTAACAAAATAAATACATAGCACTCACTATCCATGAATTTAGGCCGGCGCAACTGAATCAAAACAATGACTGGATCATTAGCACCTGAGTGGAAGTAAGGAGTTACTTGATCCACATGTTCATCCCACAGTGTACACTTAATTTGCTTCTTACTACAAAAGATTTTTAAAACAGCAGAAAATGGTTAAGATAAAATTATAAAATCAACATTAGTCAAACTTAGGGATTAAAAATAGAGTAAAGAATCATACCAAGAGTCTTCAAGCACAAAGTCAATAAGCCTACTCTTTTTCCCAGCTATTGTCTTCTCCAATGGTGAATATATCACTACAATACGACCAATCACGTCTCTATTTCAAAACAGCACTATATTAGTATATTAGTTAAATAAAGATTAACATCTCTTTTCTTGTTGTAAACTGACTGCATTTAGAAACAAATAGTTTTAACACTAACCTATCAACACTTTCTCATCAATTTCTTGCTTTGAAAGTATGGCTTCAAAACTTTTGAAGCGAAACAATGTTTTTGGGAAATTAACACGCTTGTACTCCTTCACCAGAGTATCATGTTTGAATTTGATCAGGTAACGGTGATTAGATTATGGAATGTGAAAACCAATTCAATTGAACTCAGACAGAGAATGAGAGTCCTATACACAACACTCCTACTCTGTAGGCTATAGCTAATCAGACTAAGTCTCTACCACAAATACAAGACTATATAATATAAAATAAATACAATTATTCATATTACTAACACACCCCCTCAAGCACAAGGTTGGAGAGTGACAACATTGAGCTTGCCTCGAAGTAACTGAAAACGCGGTCCTGGTAGAGATTTGGTAAAGATATCAGCTAGCTGCTCCTTTGTTGAAACAAAATTAACAGTAAATTCCCCCGATGTGACTTTGTCCCGAACAAAGTGGTAATCGATCTCAACATGCTTCGTTCGAGCGTGAAAAACTGGATTAGCTGCTAAATATGTGGCCCCCAGATTGTCACACCACAGTGTAGCCGGCTTGCCCGTGTGGAGTCCTAGTTCACGTAGCAAAGAGATAACCCAAGTTACCTCGGTCGCAACATCTGCCAGACCCTTGTACTCTGCTTCTGTCGACGATCTTGCCACTGTGCGCTGCTTGCGAGAAACCTAAGAAACCAGGTTGTCCCCAAGATAGACTGCATACCCACTGGTAGATTTCCGATCAATCGGACACCCAGCCCAGTCGGAGTCCGAGTAGGCATGCAAATCAGTAGTAGCTGATGGACGAAGGCGTAGACCATAGTCCTGAGTCCCCTTGACATATCGAAGAACCCTCTTAAGAAGACTCCAATGCTCATCTGTGGGAGAATGCATAAACTGACACAACCCGTTAATTGAGTATGCGAGATCTAGCCGAGTAATGGTGAGGTACTGCAAGGCCCCAACAATGCGACGGTACTGCGTAGGGTTCTCAAACGGATCAGTGGACGGAGTCGCTGGTTTGGTAACTGACGCTGGTGTAGCCAAAGCCTTGCAATCCGTCATGCCAGAGCGAGATAGTATATCCTGCATATACCGGCGCTGAGAGAGAAGTAGACTATCTCCATCCGGGAGAGTCTCAATCCCTAAGAAGAAGCTCGGTGTCCCTAAGTCCCGAATCATGAAAGTTGTGGCTAAACGGTGGAGTAAGCTGGTAACCAAGCCCGTATCATTTCCCATCATTATTATGTCGTCGACGTAGACAAGTAAGAAAACGCGTGAGTCTCCAGAGGTGTAATGAAAAAGTGAGACATTTGTTTTGGATGCCAAGAACCCTGTGGAGATAAAAAAATCATGGAGCCGTTTAAACCACGCACGTGGTGCTTGTTTTAGTCCGTATAGAGACCGCTGCAGATGGCACACATGATTCGGTCTAGCTGGGTCCTCATACCCTGGTGGTTGTTTCATATACACGGTTTCAGCGAGGTGTCCATTCAAGAAGGCGTTGTGAACATCCAGCTGCCGTAGAGTCCACCTGTTAGAAACAGCAAGAGAAAAGAGTATTCGGACAGTAGTCGGCTTGACCACTGGACTGAAGGTGTCAAAGAAATCTTCACCCGCCACCTGATTGAACCCTTTGGCTACTAAACGCGCCTTGTAGCGCTCCATTGAACCATCAGCTTTGCGTTTGGTGCGAAAGACCCATTTGCAGCCGATGATGTTCATTTTGGGTGTAGCCGGGATAAGCGCCCAGGTGTTGTTATGCAACAGGGCATTGAATTCTTGATCCATTGCATCTCGCCATTGTAGATGGCCCACAGCTTGGGAGTAGCAGGTTGGATCAGTGGTCGCAGTAAGAGCGAAAAACTCTTCATCCTGACCTTGTGTCTTGTGCCGAGTACGCATAGTATGTGGGACATGAGGCTTGCCCCGTCCCCGGCCCCTACGAGACGTAGCTGGAGGTCCCGTGGCAACACAAGTTTCTGGTGGAGCTGTTATGGCCGGTGGGCCTGGTTCCTGAGGCATAGGTAACTCCATGGCTAGAGATGTTGATTGAGTAGCAACTACAACTGGCCCGGCTCCCCAAGGTGTTGTAGTAGAACTCACTGGAGTCTGACTAGATGCCTGTAGAGCAAAAGGAAAAACCGATTCATCAAACCGAACATGGCGGCAGATAAAGATCTTCCCCGTGATAGGATCCATACACCGATATTCCCTAAAAGAGACTGAGTAACCTAGGAAGACACAGGGTGTTGACCGATACTCTATCTTGTGCCGATTGTAGGGCCGAAGATATGGGTAATAGCGACACCCGAAAACACGAAAGAAAGTGTACGGAGGTTGTGTTTTATAGACGCGATAGTGAGGACTTTCGTAGTTTATGGCGGAGGATGGTAGGCAGTTGATTAAGTAGGTAGCTGTTTCGAAAGCATAATCCCAGTAAATTTGTGGGGTTGAGCTTTCGACTAGAAGGGCTAAGCCGGTTTCGACTATATGTCTATTCCGACGTTCAACACGCCCGTTTTGTTCATGGGTATAGACACACGATTGTCTGTGTGTAATGCCTAAATTTTCAAACACTTTATGAAGACGACGGTACTCACCCCCTAAATCAGACTGTATGGCTTTGATAGAACGCGAAAATCGTCGTTCTACCATCACCCGGAACAAATCAAAAATTTTATATATATCTGATTTTAACCGTAATGGGTAAAACCAATAATAACGCGAATGGTCATCTACAAATAAGACAAAATAACGGTAGCCAGTAGCACTAATTACAGGAGACGGACCCCAAATGTCCGTATATAACAAGTCTAAAATATTATTGCTAGTGCTAGAAACTCTATCTAACGGAAAGCGAGCTGACTACCCGAGTTGACACGCAGTACACAATTTTGACAAACTGGCTTTATTTGTAGTGACGGGACAGTGTTTTAAGGCGCGTTGTAGGGCTTGATTGTGGGGGTGACCTAGACGTTGATGCCACACCTCGGAAGACGCACGAGCGGTTAGAAAGGCACACGGAGATGATGGGACCAATAACTTGTATAGGCCGCCGGATGTGAAACCCTTAAGAAGAACCGCCCGAGTGTTGCAATCCTTCACAAGAAACAAATTTTTGTGAAATTCAAAGTACACATCATTGTCATTAGTAAAGCGATAAACTGACAATAATGGTAACGTTAAATTAGGAACATGTAATATTTGTGACATTGACAAAATTTTTGACCGAGATGGGATTACGGTATGGCCTATACGTGAAACACCCAAACCTGTACCATTTCCGATTTTAAGAACATCTCCGCCAGTGTAAGCTTCAAAGTGGCCGATCATCTGTTCATCCGGAGTTGCGTTGGAGGTAGCCCCGGTATCCGGAAACCACACATCAGACGTCATGTTTGCCGCAGTCTTGCCGGACACCGCGACGTTGGCGTGACCGGCCGGCCGTTCAGTATACCGTTTATAACAGTACATGGCCGTGTGTCCATGTGCGCGACATATCTGACATCTCGGACCGCCACCTCTACCTTGCCGGCCTTGATTGTTTCTGCCCCTGTTCTGCTGGCCACCCCTACCACCGGAGTGACGCCCCGACGTGTGATCATTGCCATGGCGACCACGTCCGGCGTAAAACGCCACCGGGGAGTTGCTGCCAGCCGCGGTATCTGCAACGGCGAAGTCATCCTCGTGGATGAATTCCTACGCTTGGAGGAAATCAGAGAGCTGAGACAGCGAAACCGTCACACCAGACGCGGTGAGGGAGTTAGCCATCGTACGGAACTCCGGTCTGAGCCCCCGGAGAACGTACAGGATTTGCTCGTCCGGCGAAAGAGGTCTGTCGGCGAGGAACAACGCTTCAGCGATCATCTGGCACTTACCCAGGTACTCAGCCGGAGAGCCGGGGCCTTGTCGAAGCGTCTGAAACAGCCCGAGAAGGCTTAGGCAGCGAGCGGGAGTGGAGGAGGCGTATGTCGCCGCGATCGCTTCCCAGACCTCCCGAGATGTCTCCTTGCCGACAGCGAGGTGCATAACCTTGTCGGATAAGGAGGAGACGATCGTGGAGAGTATCGCTTGATCTTGCTGGATCCATGCTTCATAAGCCGGGTTGGCGGTGGTTGTTGATGTCGTGGTACTGGAGTCGCCGGTGGAGGAGACGACGACGGTCGCCGGAGGACACGGAATACGACCGTCGATGTAGCCTAATAGGCCTTGGCCACGGAGGAAGGGCACTAACTGTGTGCGCCAAAAGAGATAATTCCGCATTGTTAGCCGTGTGGACACGAAATGGTGAGCCGCCGTGAGGGAGTTGACGGCCACCGGAGGTACGCCGGAGGCGGTGGTGATGGTGCGTTCGCTGGATGAAGACGCCATCGGATGCGGGGATAGTGTATGGTGAATGAAGGAAAAGTGGAACGAACCTTCGGCTTCTGATACCAGATTAGATTATGGAATGTGAAAACCAATTCAATTGAACTCAAACAGAGAATGAGAGTCCTATACACAACACTCCTACTCTGTAGGCTATAGCTAATCAGACTAAGTCTCTACCACAAATACAAGACTATATAATATAAAATAAATACAATTATTCATATTACTAACAACGGTGACTGCTTGTTTTATTATATTTGAAGAAATTAGTGATGTATAGAAAGCTTCTAATGGCATACACTTTACCCTCCTTGAATATGTTCTTATACTTTGGAACAATATCCTTAGGTATGTAGACATGGATGAAGACACCCTATATTTAAAACAAACCCAAAAATATCAAGGTGAGATATCAGTAAGGTAAAATGGGTAAGAAATAACACTACAGAGCATGCTAAGCTATAATTTACAAACCTCTTGGTCATGAAATAGGCATTTCTGACTAAGTAACACTGGAGGCAAACGTCGTGCAGGGCACTGAAGAGTGGATCATTGATACTGGAGCAACTAGTTATTTCTGCGCCAACAGGATAATGTTCAAAGACTTCCCGGCGTTCACTAAAGGACAAGGAGAACAAGTTTACATGGGGAATGACACTACGTTTGAGGTAAGAGGTAGTGGAAATGTAGGGATCAAACTTAACTTTGGAAAGTACTTGTTTCTGTCTAATGTCTTGTATGTCCCCTCCCTGCGTAGAAATTTGGTCTCAGGGCCTTTGCTAGTGAGAGCTGGAATCAAACTTGTGTTTGAATCTGAGCGAATGATTATGTCTTGTAGGGGCAATTTTTAGGGAAAGCTTACTTGCGGGGGGCTATTTCTTTTGCCTCTTATTGTGTACACTTCTGCAAACATTTCAAATTTTATGAATAATCTTGCCAGTCGCACTAGCGGCTCTGCGTATACTGCTGTTTCATTTGATGTATGGCATGCTAGATTAGGGCATATTGGTTCTAAATGCATGAGTAGGCTAAAAACCATGAATATGCTTTCCAACTTGCAAAGTGAAACACTTTCCCAATGTGAAGTATGTGCAGAGGCAAACTTAGTTAAAAAAAACCTTTTCTCACTGCAAAGCATCATACTGCGTGCACCTTAGAGTTAGTTCATACCGATATAGTTGATTTTAAGAGTACTGAGACTAAATGTGGAAAACGATATTATATCTCATTTATAGATGATTTCACTCGTTTCTCAAAGTTAGATCTGCTTAGGACAAAGGATGAAGCAGAACAAAAAAATTAGTCTATAAATCTGAAGTAGAAAATCAGTTACAGAAAAGGATCAAACGACTCAGATCCGACAGAGGTGGGGAGTATGAGTCCATATCATTTAAGTCCTTTTGTGAAAAACATGGAATTATCCATGAGGTCACTGCACCATACTCACCTCAACAAAATGGCATTGCTGAGAGGAAAAACAGAACTCTCAAAGAATTTATGTCTCGTAGGGGGGAATTTTTAGGGAAGGCTTACTTGCGTGGGGGGCTGTTTGTTTTGCCTCTTATTGTGTACACTTCTACAAACATTGCAACTTTTATGAATAATCTTGCCAGTCGCACTAGCGGTTCTGTGTATATTGCTGTTTCATTTGATGTATGGCATGCTAGATTAGGGCATATTGGTTCTAAATGCATGAGTAAGCTAAACACCATGAATATGTTTTCTAACTTGCAAAGTGAAACGCTTTCCCAATGTGAAGTATGTGCAGAGACAAAATTAGTTAAAAAACATTCTCTCACTGCAAAGCATCATACTACATGCACCTTAGAGTTAGTTCATACCGATATAGCTGATTTTAAGAGTACTGAGACTAAATGTGGAAAACGATATTATATCTCATTTATAGATAATTTCACTCATTTCTCAAAGTTAAATCTGCTTAGGTCAAACGATGAAGCAGAACAAAAAAATTTAGTCTATAAATCTGAACTAGAAAATAAGCTAGATAGAAGGATCAAACGAATTAGATCCGACAGAGGTGGGGAGTATGAGTCCATATCATTTAAGTCCTTTTGTGAAAAACATGGAATTATTCATGAGGTCACTGCACCATACTCACCTCAACAAAATGACATTGCTGATGATCAGTGCCTTCTTGGTAAGCTCGGGCGCCCCAACTTCCCCATGGGGGGAAGCAACTATTACAGCTAATCACATCCTGAATAGGATACCTAATAAAGGATACGAGAAAACTCCATATGAACTGTGGAAAGGTTTTACTCCTAACCTGAAATACTTTAAGTTGTGGGGGGTGCTTAGCAAAAGTAGGTCTCCTATCTTTCAAGAGACCTAACATCGGGTCTAAAACCGAAGATGCAGTTTTCGTGGTGTATGCCAAAAATAGTGCTCCATACAGGTTCATGTACCTTGACAACCGCTCTATGTGCGAGGCACGAGAGGCTGAGTTCTTCGAAAATCTCTTCCCACTGAAACAATCTCCAAATAACTCACAAAGAGTTGACCCCTTTCTACATCCTCCTTCTCAAACGAGAACGAGACAGAGGAGCCTAGGAGAAGCAAGAGACAGAGAACTGAAACAAGCTTCAGACCTGACTTCATTACATACATATCTGAGTTGAATGATGTTAATGAACTCTCTGAACAATTTCTTTGTCAGTTAATCTTATAAGATGAGCCAAAGTTCTTTGAGGCGGTTGTGCGCTCTGAAGATGCTATATTTTGGAAAGAAGCCATTCAAAGTGAGTTAGACTCAATTAAGTCTAATCACACTTGGGAAGTGGTAGATCTACCCAAAGGAGCCAAACCAATTGGCTGCAAGTGGATCTTTAAACGAAAACTAAGACCGGACGGGTCAATCGAAAGGTTCAAAGCTAGACTTGTGGCAAAGGAGTATAAATAGATGTTTGGTGAAGACTACTTCGACACTTACTCCCCCGTGACCAAGATAGCCACAATTCGTGTGTTGTTTGCCTTAGCCTCCTCAAATAACTGACTAGTCCATCAAATGGACATGAAAATGGTTTTTCTAAATAGGGATCTGGAGGAAGAGATCTACATGGAGCAACCACCTAGGTGCATTGAGCCAGGGCAAGAGAAAAAGGTATGTAGACTAATAAAGTTCTTTGTACGGGCTAAGACAAGCTCCCAAACAGTGGTATGAAAAATTTCATAAAACACTAGTAGATATGGGCTACTCGCTAAACAGATCAGATGCATGTCTATACTCAAAAGAGATCGACTCAAGCATTGTACTTATATGCATCTATATAGATGATATGTTAATTTTCAATGCAAATCTAGATGCGATAAGAGAGATTAAAAAATCTCTACGTGATAGATTTGACATGAAAGATATGGGGGAAAGCGATGTGATACTTGGAGTAAAAATCATAACAAATGAAGAAGGCTACAAGTTATCACAAAGCCACTACACAGAGAAGCTTTTAAGAAAATTTGACAGCTTCGAAGTGACTCCAGCACAAACCCCATATGATCCGAGTATGAAACTGTCAAAAAAACACAAAAACAAGTGTGTCTCAAGAACAGTATGCGGAAATCATTGGAACTCTGATGTTCTTGATGAACTACTCCAGACCAGATATCGCTCTTGCGGTAAATAGACTCAGTCGATACACCCATAACCCGAGTGACGCCTACGGGCATGCACTAAGAAGAGTGTTGCGGTACTTAAAGGGCACAGTCGACTGGGTTTACACTATACTGGATTTCGAGCAGTCCTAGAGGGATACTGCGACGCAAACTAGGTAAATGACAGTAGTGATGTGAGCTCCACCAGTGGGTATGTTGTCACCATGGGTGGGGCTGTAGTGTCGTGGACATCCACGAAACAATCGTGTATAGGTAGATCGACGATGGAGGCTGAGTTCATAGCCCTTGATCTAGTTGGGCAAGAAGCTGAGTGGCTGAGAAACCTACTAGCAGACTTGCCGTTGTGGGGGTGTGCTACACCATCTGTGCCCATACACTGTGATTCTCAAACTGCTATATGCGTAGCAAAGAACAATGCCTATAATGGTAAAAGAAGGCATATAAGAGTCAGACATAAGTCTGTAAGGCAGTTGATTACGACTAGGGTGCTCACATTAGAGTATGTGAAATTTGAAAGGAATATTGCAGACCCTTTCACAAAAGGACTGAACAGGAAGGCCATCCTCGATGCATCAAAAGAAATGGGCCTGAAATCAGTAAAGTAAGCAAGGCTTACACACTCACAAACAACTGAACACGAGGTGTTCTAAGACATACAAGTAGATCTCGAGTCAAAGAGTTTGACTCCCGTAGAACCTGCATAATGGGTGTTGGCACGTGCACATGAGTTCAAAACGACCTCTCCTTAGCTAGTTCAAGATTAAATTCACTACTAAAGAAAAATTTACTCAAGTCACTACGTGTCAGTCCAAGGTTAAAACCACTGACATCAAGGTCAGCACTCACTCCCGCTTAGACATCTACTTCTGTCACACTTGTTTAAATATGTGGGGGATGTTGGGAATATCATTCGAAACAAGTGAAGTTGTCTTCACTAGTTGTCCCACATTGCTTTCACAAGGGTGCCTTTCCCATTATTTATTAACCAAGCCTTTTATTCCTCTTACAGTATAGTGGAAAGGAAGGAAAAGGGAAACCCATATGCGCGTCGTCGTCGCTCGCCCGGCACGTGCGTCGCGGTGGGGTGGCGTTTTGCTCGTCCCTCATTTGTTTTCCGAGTATTCCGCCCTTCCAGAGCTTGTTTATGGAGAAATTTTACCATCCATAATAAATTGTGGAGTCAGAATAAATCCCTAAGAATGTGGCCCTCTCCACCACATTCTCCCCTGTTTTCGTGGCTCATTGAATGGCTGAGAGAGGAGGGGTGGGTATTTCTATATCTATAAATATCATGCTCCTCCTGAGTTCTAAACACACAATTTATTTTACTCTCTTCTTTCCTTCTCTAAGTGGCCTGAGCATTTGAGTCA